CCCTATGGACTCTAGCCTGGCAGGCCACTCTGTCCATGGAATTTCCCAGGCAAGAATACTGGAATGGGTTGCCATTTCCTACTCCAAGGGATCTTCCTGATGCAGGGACTGACCGGCGTTTCTTATATCTCCTTCACTGACAGGCAGGTTTTTTACCACTGTGCCACTTGGAAAGCCCATTAATGGCACCAAATGCATCCCTCCCAAGACTAACATTCAGGAGTAAGAGTTTACTCTTCTACTGCACCATGCATCTTTGCTTGATCTAGCCAAGAGTATCTTTTGATAGATTGCTGTCTCGTAATCCATGAAAATCTCAGTGTTGACAACCATCCAGGATCCTTGATCGAAGGTTGACTTTTAAGTACTCTATGTTTCTGTTAAGCTCCAACTACTTATTACATCTTAATAAGGAGTAAGAATTTTGCTTAGCAGCTACAAAGATTGGGTGCAGAAAGATTAAAATGCCCTCTCTAAAGTTAAGTATGATATTTTGGCTACTACCGAAGATTTTGTTCAAACTCATTTGTAGATCATGGCAGTAAACTCACAGTCTGCCTCTCCTGTAGTATTCCCTACTTCTCATCCTTGTTCCAATTTCCAGAAAGACCTTTCTAGCACAAATATTTTTGTAAGGGTTACCTGCTTTAAAAACTTCCATCCCACTTTGAAGTTTTTAAAGCAGGCAACTGAAAATAAGCTTCCAGGTGGCGCAGTGGTAAAGAATCCACCTGCCAATGCAGGAGATATAAGAGATGCAGGTTCGATCCCTTCAACAGGAAGACCCCCTGGAGGAGGAAATGGCAACCCATGCCAGCATTCTTGCCTGGAGAGTCCCAGGACAGAGGAGTCTGGCGGGCTAGTCAATGGGGTCACCAAGAGTTGGACATGACTGAGCACACACACAGAACTGAAAATAAAGGTCAAATATCTTGGCACAACTAAAAAGACCCTTGGTGAAATGGCCCTTGGATTTCTCCCAGCTTCTTTTGCTCAATCAATACTTCAGTGCTTGCTATGTTCCAAATACCTCATTCTATTTTTTTACCCTCCATGACTTTGTATATGCCTTTATCTTTTGCCTGGGACATCCTTCTTTGCATCATAATTGTGGCAAACTCACACTTATATTTCTGACTCAGTTTAAACTTTATCCTTCCTGTTAAGATTCCAAGACCTTTCCCAGGCAGAATTCATTTTCTCTTCTACACAAATATTATAACTTGTATATATTCTAGTTATTGCACTTGCTATATTTATCATTTATGCTTTAATATTGTATTTAAATGTAATTAAAATGTATTACAATTGAATACAGTGAGTAATTGAATCTATTGTACTTTCTTGTTTATATGAACCACTTCATATTCTGAGATAAAATATCATGGTTTGAAAAAATTAAAGTTTCTGTATGCAGACAAATTAGGCTCTGCATATTAGGTAATAATTGCTGGCATGCATTTATCACTTACTCTGTGATAGTAAGTGACAGTGTGAAGCACCATCCTTAGGGCTTTATATGTATAAGTCACTGAATCTTCACAGCCATCCAATAAGATACATGCTGATAGACATTTGCAGATGAGGACACTGAAGACAGAGACCACTTGGAACAGAGTCAGTGAGTGCAGAGCCAGAATTTGAGCACCAATACCCTGGTCAGAGTCAGCCTCTTAACCCCCACGTTATCCTCGGGCTAACTAACCTCTCTGAACTCTACATCATCATAAAAGGAGGACAGGAGTAACCACCTCTTTGTTAAAATGAAAGGCAATGATACTCTCCCACCTTTACTTCTCCTCTCATTGTTCATTCATGTGTAGATTCACATTAATTTGACTTCTGGTAATATACATAGTCTTTACCACCTTCACCATCACAAACTTCGGTCCCCAACACTATAAGACAAAAAAAGGAACCTTCCTTTTCTTGCTGTTTCCTATTAAAAACAGGTTCTTCTGAATCTTGGCCAGAGGAAGGAAGTGAGCCCCATTTATATAATCAGGATGGAAAAGCTGAATTTGTCATTTGTTTCAGTTTAATTTTGCATTATTGTAATACAAAGTAATTCTCTGGCTGAAAAATTTATCTTTAGGGTTTATTTATTTACTGTGGCACACAGCAAGTACTTACTTATTGATATAACCAGGAGAAATAAATGACTTGATAAAACCAAGAATGAAATGTAAGTCAAAATAATTTGACAGTTGAATCTACTTCTTAACAGTACAGTACAGAGAATAAATCTGCACATAGTTCTAAAAGCAAATTTACATAACTTTATACTATTATTAATTATAAAATGTATCCTGGTCCTATAAACTTCAACAGTTAAGAGGGCAAAGAAAACATGATTTCTTCGAATTTCAACCAGACAATGAGTTATAATGCCATTATTCAGAAATCTATATCTATTGACCAATTCTGTGAGAATCAAAAGTACAAAAAACTGTTTCAAATTCTGGTCAGTAAATATGAAGGAAATATAGCACCATGTCAATTTTTTTAAAACATATGTAAGTTGAAAATATATAATCTTAATTAACATAATTATTCTAAACAGAAATATATTACAAATCCCAATCAACTGCTTCAGACATTGATTACCTAAAAATACACATTTAGCTCCATAAAATTAAGAGTCTCAAACCCAGCATTAACAAGGTTGACTTGATTTTGAAAGCACAGCATGCTGTGATTCTGTATGTGGGTAAGTGCAAGCGTATGTGTAGGTATATCCTATTCTGACACATATTCACACGTAGTACACATAAAGTCCATTGCACTTTTAAGTAGTGCTTTATTTAGATCCTCAGATACATGCTACATTGCTTGGAACTGAAATTATTTGAATATATAAATCCTAACTTCATTCATGTTGAAACCTTTTTTTTTTTTTCCTGCAAGCTACTTGAAATGGAGGGCACAGCCTCAGGAAAGAAATATATTTGTGAATTTGAGTTGGGATTTACATAATTTCACTCCTCATTTTATTTTGAATTTAATTACTTTCAAAACCATTAAAAAGGTGTAAACACACACATGCACGCACAAATGTGATGGAGCAATGCAATTACTCATGCTGTTACTGAAAGCTAGAGGGGCTTGTATTTCTTTCCAGTAAACAATTTCACTTTTGCAATATACTGTGGTCTGTTCTCCCCAGTCCCTTCCTGATTGTTAAATAGGAACTTACTGGAGAGGCATTGATAAGTTTTCAGGTTTATTTGGACTAGCCATTTAGACTAGATTGCTTTGGTGCTTCATCTAATTTTGAGTCCTCTTTAAATCAGATTTGAAGTTTATAGTTCTAAGCTTCTGAGATTATTTTTTCTCATACTCTTGTATTAGGAAGTTGGCATAAAGTACAGATAATATAAGTCATTAACTCAAAGGTATGCAGAAAACACATGGAGCTTAAAGTCTTGTCTTCTGTTCCTAATTCAATATTCTTTCCACCTCAAATCTTTCCACATCTTTACTATGTTTGTACTGTCTTCTCCTGACATTTAACTTCCCGAGCTTCCTCTTAGTAATTGGACTAAGGAAATGATTTTGAGGTCTTAAAATGTTTAAATTTTAGGAGCATGAGCAAGACAAGAAATTGAATTTTAGAATTAAGGTAATTATATCAATTTCTTAAAGTCCACAGATATTGATGTATTATGAATTTATTACTTTTCAATATTTCATTCAAAAAGAAAAGGGAGAATAAAGTTTTATTTCTTGACATTATTTTCCTCATGAAACTTAAAATCATTAGAAGACAGAAGGCCACTATTACATGATGACATGTAAATAATTCTTCAAAATCCAGTGTCAGAGTATTGAATATTTTTAAAAAGTAAGGTCTTAACAACTTGCATTTGGCCAATGTAGTTGAATAGTACTCCAATCAGAGTTTGCCTTGCATTTTCAAGAACACTTCCTATAGCTTTCCTTAATATCATAAGTTATCCTAACTTAAGAAAACATTGCATTGTTAAATAATTAGTAGTAGTAATTATATCTTAAAGTTAGACTAGGAAAAATATAACAAATGTAAACCAAACTAATAAACAAAGCACATGATCTTGTATTGGCATATAAAATATCCACATTGCCAATTAGTGACACTTTCCATAGCTTCCTAAATAATTGCATTTCATTGGAGCCATTTTATTTGTTCCCTCAAAATGTTTTGCTTAAAGTGTAAAAATCAATACCTCTCTCCATCTAAAGTGCTTTATAGCTCATCATGTTGTCCATGTGGGCATTTATAGAAATGTAATACTTTATATTATGCATAAACTGAAGCCTACTTGGTTTTAGAAGTAAATAACATATTCTAAATTTAGTTCAAAAAGCAGAATTTGAAATTTGGAACAGTAATCTTAGTAATACACCTTTCAAAGCTTTAAGAATTAACTCATAGTATAGGAAACAGGGGAAAGAAACACAAGACCAAAGGGTTCAGTCAGAACCAAGGATTACTTTGGACTCAAATGTATAAGTCCTACTGGGGAAGATTCAGCATTTAACCCTCTTCATCTAAGGGCAGTTCTAGTAACTGACAAATTCATTTATCTCTTGAATATAATGCTAGTGGAGAACCACAAAGCACTTCAGAACACACAGGCAGAGTCAGCCATGCAGCACAGTCAAAAATACCCAAGTGACCTGCAGCTATTACTTAAGCCTCACTGAATGTCACACTAACCCCTAGAGAGTGACTTAAGAACTAGGGGAAAATGTCATCTGGATTGTCTTTTGATATGTGTCCAGTAGAACCGAAGAAATTGAAGTGCCTGAACGGCCGACATGATTCATTTAAATGTGAACATTTCTCTGAACCAATGATTCCTTTTATGGTAAGAAAATGAATACACTTCACAATTTTCATTTTAGGTCAGAGGCAGTGCAGCTTGTGTTACAACGGAAAGGAGAAATACTAAAGATAAAAGAAAAAGAGGACGGTGCTGAAAATAAACATGTTCAGCAGCCATTGTGATTCAACTTACCCTGATGTGCTTTTCATGAGATGAAGGAGGACAGATGAAAAAGAAAAGCACACAAATGTTAATGGATACATTTCAATCCAAAGAAAGCCATGGAATAAAACAAGAGCATCATTTCAGATGTGCTGAAGCTCAGATACGAGAAAGACATGGTGTTCTGTTTTCTGTTTTTGTTTTGTTTTGTTTTTTAAATTTCACCAATACACACATACTCACTGCATCCAAAAGCATAATCAGGCTGAAGGCAGTTCTAATAGTTGACCAGTAGTCTGTCTCTTGAAAATGAGCCACTCTGAAACATGCATGACCACATTTTCCCAGCCTGTAGTAAACCCCGGGAGGAAGTCAGGCAGCTTGTTAAAGAATATTCTTCACCTCGGGCCATCAGGTTATTGTACAAATAGAAGCAGTAACCTATTAAGTGGTGCTTGGGATCTCAAACAGATTTATAAGCTTAGAGCTTAAGAAAAATACAGCAGACTTCTGGAAAGGCAGTGACTCAAAGAAAGCACTAGTTTGAGGGTGGGACTATCTGGATTCTAGTTCACATACATAGTTTGGTCAAAGTCACTGGTAAGGTTCTGATGTTCAATCTCCCGAACATAATTTGAGGCAGGAAGAAATTTTCACATCCCAGATCCATAATTTTTTTATGACATTACACAGGTGCTATAAAATAATAATAATTATGTGCCAGTAATAAGGTCATGAAAAAGTTCTAAAAAATTCTATCAGTCTTCTCTCCTTGCCACACTAATTCTTCCTCTTCTATTTGAGCTGGCAAAATAAAGCTTGAGCTTGTGCCAACTGGGTGTCTTTAAGTAGACACATTTATTTATTTGGACAGATGTTGATAAACATTGCTCTGAGGGGGAAAATGAACTAGATTAGTTCACCAATGTTACCAGATGTCATCACAAAAGTGTTGATTTAGTTGTGGTGTTTGAAGTAGCCCACTTGTTCCCTGGGTAGAGTAGAGGCACTGGGAAAATATGGAATTTAAATAACCCAATAAAAAGTCATGAGAATATTATTTTAAATTTTTATAAAAGCATAATAGATTCTTAGAAAAATAAAATTTACTACATAAAATATAATCAATGTAACAAAATATGAAGCAGATATTCCTATCTAAGAAATGAGGCAAGTTAGAGAGTTCCCTTTTTTTATTACACAATCATTATAAAGAAAAGCTGGAAGTGCAATGAACACCCTGCACGTGCCTCCTCCAAACGCATTCATTCAGAGAAACTGTGTATTCTTTCACTAAATGTGCATTTTGGAGAAATGCATATTCTTTGATTGACCTTAACTTCAGAACAGCTGTGACAGTATTTAAATTTTTCACATAAACAAAAACATAGCAATCCTTACAAACTGGCATCGCAATGTCCTAAGAAATTTAAGGCATCTTTCTTGCATCATATATGCAACAGAAAGAAAATTAAGACCCAAAGAGACACATTCTAGGTGGTTAGAATGATTTTCCTGTCAACATACCTGTGAACTCTTTGATGAGTTCTGAGAAAAAAGCAATTTCTGAGCTCTTCATGAAAGCTAATTTTCATGAAGTATCTGGGGCCAGTTATTATTGTGGACAAAATAATCCTCAGCCCACAAGCGACCTGGGCACTGCTCTCCAATAGGATTGAATAAATCTGCACACAGTGGAATATTAATATTTTTCACATATTTATCATTTTTAAAATAGGAAATCTGCACCTATAGAAATACCCTAAATATAAAACATAAGAGAAATTGTGAAAATAAACAGGAAATACAAATGTATGACTCAAAAAGTATCGCTTAAATTTCTAATATATTTATCAGTGTGTGTAAGTTATCTGACTTCTCATAGTTTTTACTAACTCTTCTCCTCCACAGCCAATTAATTTAAAAGCAATCTTGACTAGCTATTTCACTTTAGAATTAAGTATTTCAGCTCATAACTTTCAAAAAGACATGTTCTGCAAAGGACAAAAAGCTGTAATTATAAATGACTCTTAAGAGAGTTTGTGATAATATATTATAAATTCATATCAGAGGTAACATATATTTGTGCTGCTTTTGGTCTAGATAAAGACAGTTTTCTTTTTATAAAAATTGATATTCTTTTCTACATGCAATTATTTACAGGAACATATAACTTATTTTTTTTCTTTCTACTCCAGATTGTCAAAATTATGAGAATACCGAGAGATTCTGGCAAAAATTAATCTTCTTCAGTTAAATACCACTGTAGTATATAATAGACAAATAACAATTTTTCACTGACCTAGAAAAAATAGGTTTTAAGTTACCCTTTAACCAATAAGAACAAGTCAGTTATTGGCACAATATTTTCCTTAGGAACATCAGCATACATCCAGACACAAACAAGATATTATCAACTAACATATATCTTATATTCAAAAACAGGATTCTTAAATGCTTAATTGCCTCACTTTAATCTTCTAGATCTTCCACTGAATGAATGGACCTTCTATTTATAAACTAGTTAACTTTGAATGTAAAATTTCAAATTAGAAATATTTATTAAATGAACTTCATATGTGGAATGTGGTTGCCTTTTGCTTCTTAAAGTTCAAATTGATGACTCAGAAATTTTTAAAAAAATCAATTGTTAACACCAGATTGAGGAGTGAACAGGTAGTGACTGAAGTAAAAATGTAGAATGAAGAAAGGATTTCTTTTAATAGGTGAAACTTGAGAATCTTTAAATGCTGATGACCACAAGCCAGAAGAGAGGAGGATTTGAAGAGAATTTGAAGTACACGTGGGAAATTGGCAGAACCGGACAGACAAAATCAGCAGGGATGGTCTTAAATGAGAAGAGACTAACCTAGTTTCCTGTGTTAAAGCAGGATGGGGGTGAGAGTCAGCGTGAATTCAGCAGCAAATAATTCAGAGGGCTAAGATAGTCTCTTTATCTCTCCCTCTAGAGTAGAATGCAAACGCACGTGCAGAAGATACAGGTTTGAGGACAGTGGAGGTCTCTGACAAAAGTTGCAGAGAGTAGAAAGAAGACTGGTGACTGAAAAATACCGGGATTACATGGCAGTGTTGAATTCCCACATGAAGCTGATTCAATCCCTTGAATTCAAATTCAAATTCAAATTCCCTTGAATTCAAATTCAAGTTAATTTTCTCTTGTAGCTCTCAGGTAACCCAAACATAGCCATGGAGGAAGAAAATTCATTGGTGGCTGTAGTTAAGATATGGACATAACCAAATGAAAAAGAAATGATGGGTTTGGAATTTTTGAGCATGATGAAATTATGGTCATAGAATCCAAGCGAAATAGGGAGACAGAAGAGGACTGAATGCAGCTGATGCACTACAAAGTGATAGAAGTTTTTAAAAAGATGATAGTAGAAGTTGGTAAAACAAGCTGAAAGGAGGAGATAGGAAGGAATGATATGCATGGATTAGTAACTTTTGAGTAGGGGGTTATGATTTGGGGGTGAAAGGAGGAGATAGGAAGGAATGATATGCATGGATTAGTAACTTTTGAGTAGGGGGTTTTGATTTGGGGGTGATGATGAGATTCAGAATATAACATGGGATGTGTCTGACTTGGAAGAGAGGATGACATTGGAAGTAATGAAGCCATGAACTTAAAGGTTAAGGTGCAAACAGTTGATTTATGTGGATATGAGCACCCAGGGGTGATGGCAGAAATTGCTTTATACACAGTGATGGGATATAGATAAAAATAAATAGCCAAGCACATTTCTAGTGATCCTTATAAACAAAAGAAAATGATTCAGAAGTTTTAAGTATAGTTTATTGTACTTCTTCAGAAATAATTTTTCTTTGAAGTCAATATTGAATCCAAATAGCTGAAGTATTTAAGACTCTTTAAAAGAGGTTGAGAAATCTTTATTTTTTCAAGGATTTTGTTATTCTTTTGCCTGTGATTATACCCCAGTCAAGCCCCAAATTAAAAATTTAAGTATGTAGAATCTGAAATAAATACATTTAATTGTATGCTATATATATATGTATCAGTCAGTTCAGTCACTCAGTCATGTCAGGCTCTTTGTGACCCCATGGAATGCAGCATGCNTCCCTTAAACAAAATCATTTATCTAAATTTAACTATGTCTTCTAGCTTCATGCTTTCACAAATATCATACTCATATTTAAGTCAAATATTAAAATGCTGAGTCCACCAACTTCTATTTCACTCAGTTATCATAAATTCCCTTATCCAGCCTCTGCGATTACAATGATCCCACCAGTTATATTTTCATGTTTTCAGTCTCATTCCAATCTTATGTTCGTTTAGAAAGTAATCAAAACACTTTGCTGAACTCAATATGTGGTATTTCTACAGCCTTTTTCTCATCTACATTTATAGAAAATGTCTGAAAAGTTTAAGGACACAGTTTATTCTTAAGGAATTCCATTTGTTCTTGGTGATTGAAAATCCCTTTCTTACTGTTCAAAAATAACCTATTGGATGTTTTATGTTTATTTTGAAAAACTAACCAGTCTAAGCAGGGTGTCAATATACAGTCTTAACTTGGAGAACATCTTTTAAACAAGAACATTAAGTGGTTTTAGGCATATGGCACTCTTCTCATTCTGCTCAAAGGCCAGAGACTTAGAGAAAGGATCATGAAATACTAAAGTGCAATAATCTGTTTTCATGACTGTCTCTCTACAAGCTCGCTGAAGAGTAGAACTGTATAATTCAAATATCAGTCGTTTCTGACACAGTTCTTGGAAAAAAACAGGCACTAAGGAAATGACTGAAAAGTTATCATTTGTATGTTTCATTAATCCAGGACTTACTTCAGTCAAGACAAATAATATGGATCTTTTTATAAAAGGAGGTCATTTTTCTGGTACATCTAACTATCTTGAGTTTTCACTTATTATTTATTAATTCTTATTTTATTCTTTTCATTTTTCATGGGCAGAAAATACAGAGGCTATACAGGGATTCTGATTCTATTGATACTTACTCTGTAATCTATTAACATTGCACCATAGGTTCATAACAA